TCCAGCTCTACACCTTGTTATCTCTTTCACCATTGCTGTCTAGAATGACAGGAGAATGGCCTGTGGTCCCCTCTCGGCTTCTGTTCCATATTCATAGGGAGATGCCTTCTCCCTGCATCAGGGTTCCCTGCTCCTGTCATCCCTCTCTGGCCTCCCCGTTTCAGATCCTCCCTGCTTCAGCTAAATGACGATTAGAGAGCGCTAAAAGAAAATTAATGCGGACACTGCAAAATCTGAACTAGGTACAAAAGGCGTTGGAAATTCTCAGCTGGCCTGGCAGAGATGCAGTCTTTCAGATCAGCAAAACACCGAAGGGGCACAGGCTTTTTTCTTGGCTGGCCATTATCTCAACAGTACCTGCTGGGAAGGAAACCCAGCAGGTCTGGCAGCACCTGTGGAGAGAGCAAGGAAGTTAACGTATCAGGTTGATGAGCTGTTTTTCTCTCTCCATAGATGCTGACAGACCTGTTGAGTTTCTTTTTCCTGGCAGGTATTGTTGACATAATGGTCAGCCAAGAAACAAACCTGTGTCCTACCGCTGTACTGCTGATTTGAAAGATTGCACCTCTGCATGGTCCCTTTTCATTAAAATACAGTAGATCACATTTAGATAAGCTTGACCTTTGTACTAGGTCCTGAGCCCTGGCAACAGAACTACACCAAATTTGCTCTAACTCACTACAAACTGATAAATTCAGAGGGAAAGGCAATTGAATAACAATGTGGGAGGCTGTAAATTGTCACACGGTGGTCCTCTGATTGAACTCTAGATTGATGTATGTTATTAAGACAAGGGAAGCTTCACACTGCATTAAAACCTGGACCTAGAATGGCAAGATACTGACCAAGGACCACATCCCCAATGCTATCAGCTTTTGTACTGATAAGCACACAAAAGGTGATGATACAGTTAAACAAAAAGTCTCATTTGAAGGCCAGAAAAGCAAAGTTGTAAAGGAACAAGGAGAACATGAAGATTTAAATTTCAATAAAGGAAGATGGCAAAAGGAAAATAGTTTAATGGCCCCAAAAACTTTGGTAAACGAAATACATCAACTGTCAACATTTGCTGTACTAATTCAGTCTTCTTCTTTAGTTGATAAGTGATTTACAGTAAGTGTCTATGTGGAAGTTGTTAAACAGTTTAGCACCTACATCATTGCATGTAGTTTTTAATCAGACTATAAATCTTCCCCTGTATCCACCCACTCTAGATGCAAGTGCGCCTTAATACAAAGAATTTTATTTCACAGTAATGTTCAGTAGATACTCAGGGCAATTGTAGGATGCAATATTAATATTAATTTTACTTCACATATTCAGGTACGGAATAAGTAAATCATTTAAAAGCAACCGTGGTGTTAAAATGTCTGGATTTATTGTTTCATTCAAGTTGTAGCACAGATCGCTGCAGATTTTCTCTTCATTGCAAAAAAGCTGGAAAAGTTTCAGTGAATGTACCACAAGCTTTATAGGCCTCAAAGAACTATGATGGCATGGGTGAAATGGAGGCATTGAGGCAAGGTGAGAGGAGGAAATAATAATAATTGGCTAGAAAAAGAATTGTATTTGGTTCTGTTTAGGTGGTAGAATTGGATTAAATACCAACTGAACTACAGTAAGAAAATCAGCCAGGACTTCATATATTCATGTGGTCACTCGTGCAGGAAAGATTGCACAATTGCTAGAATGAAAACAGAACTGAAGAAGAGTCATATCTGACTGGAAACGTTAACTCTGTTTCTCTCTCCACAGATGGTGCCAGACCCGTTTCTCCAGCACTATTTTTAATATTTTTTTTCTCCTCTATCTCTGCACCCCTCCTCACTTTCCACCCTCATGCTGCCTCTCCCCCTCTCTCTATTCTTCTGTTGCTCAGTACCCCTCCCTGTCTCTCTCTGCCTACCCCGTCTCTCACTCCTCTCTCTGTTTGTCCTCCATCCTGTGCCTTTTGCCCTCTCTCTTACAAACTCTCCCTCTCCTTCCTTATTCTCCCTCACCATTTCAATTTCCCTGACCCTCATGTGGTGAGGATCAAAGCAAACTCAAGGGCAACATTTGGATGATCACTTGACGAACTCACACAAAATATTCCTTGGTCTTTGTGTCCGTCATTCTCCTCAGTGAAGAATGGCTGTTAGGTGGACAGAGCTTTGTAAATGAAAGGCTGGGTGCACAGTGTGGGTCCACATTGCAAATGTGGTGTGTCTCTGACTGACTGGCCTCTCCCTGTCATCATTTCTGATAATGTGCACATTCTAGCTGTGCTGATCCAACCATCATATCTCCACTCTCCTTCGTTCACTGACTCCATTTCAGTTACGTCCCAGATATAAAAACGTAGAAACTAGGAGCAGGAGAAGCTTTTTGGCCCTTCGAGCCTCTTCCATCATTCAATATAATCATGGCTGATCCTTTGTTTCAATGCCATATTGCTGCTTTCTCTCCACAGATACCTTTAATATAAAAAAAGTGTCAATCTCTTCCTTGAACACACTCAGTGAGCCGGCTTCTACAGCCTTCCGTGGTAGCAAATTCCACAGGTTTGCCACCCTCTGAATGAAGAAATGTTTCCTTTTCTCACTCCTAAATAGCCTATCCCATACCCTGATACTGTGTCCCCTGGTTCTAGACTCTCCAACCAGGGGAAATATCCTCCCTGCATCTGATCTGTCTTGACGTGTTAGAATATAATACATTTTGATCAGATCCCCTCTCATAAACTCGAGTAAGTACAGGCCCAGTTGAGCCAATCTCTGCTCATACAACAGTGCTGCCATCCCTGGTACCAGCCTAGTGAATTTCTCACTCTAAGGCAAATATATTGTCACTCATAGAATCTCTACAGTGTGGAAGCATGCCATTCAGCCCATCGAGTCCACACCAACTCTCTGAAGAACATCCCTCCCAGACCCTATAGGCCTGCATTTTCCCAAGGCTTGCACAATTTTGGAAACCAGAGAACCCAGACGAAACCCACACAGACACGGGGAGAATGGAGAAAACTCCACACAGACAGTCACCTAAGGGTGGAAACAAACCCAGGTCCCTGGCACTGTGAGGCAGCAGTGTTAACCACTGAGCTACTGTGCCGCCCTTAAGCAGGGAAACCAAAACTTCACACAATATTCCAGGTTCAGTTTCACAAGTATAACTGCAGTAAGGCATCCCAATGTCTGAACTCGAATCCTCCTGATATGATCTTGCAATCCTCTTTCTGTTCACATTCGCTTGATTAAATAAACCCACAGCGAATTTGAACTAACTCAGTTCATGTTCTGACAGTACTCTTGATGGAGCACTGAGATGATTTTCCTTTGAGCAGTCAGTGATCCTAAAGCCTTTTTAATGTACTTTATTTGGATTTCGAGAGGATATTTCATCAGGTGAATATAAACTCATCGTGCAGTACATAATATAATAGCATAGATAGAAAATTAGCTGGCTGGAAGAAAACAGGAAGTATGCATGAATGGGTCTTTGATGGCCAGGATGTGATGAGTGGAATCCTGTAGGTGTCTATGCTCAGGTCTCAACCTTTTACAGTTTATATCAATGACCTAAATGAGGGCGCTAAGGCACAGTAGCTAAATTCGCAGACCACTTCAAGATAGGAAGGAAAGTATGTTGTGATGAAGACATAAGAAGCTGCTGATGGAGAGATACTTTAAATCAGATAGAGTATAATGTGGGGAAAATGGGAAGTTGTTCATTTTGGTTGGAAAAATAGAAGAACAAAGTATTACTTCTGAATTCTGAGGCGCTGAGGGACTTGTGTGTCTTGCTACATAAGTCGATATACAGGTGCAACACATAATGGAGAAGGCTAATTGGATGGTCTCATTATGAGAGGAACTGAAAACAAAAGAAAAGATGTAATTGGTGGCAAAGTAGACAGTGAAGAAGGGTTTTCTAAGGTTACAAAGGGATCTTCATCAAATAGGTCAATGGACTGAAAATGGAGATGGAGTTCACTCTGGATAAATGCGAGGTATTGCATTTTGGTACAACAAACAGGGCTTATACACTTAGTGGTAGGACCTTGGATGGTGTTGTAGAGCAGAGGGACCGAGGGGTACAAGTACATAATTCTTTGAAGTTTGCGTCACACGGTTCAGAAGAGATTTACCATGATTTGCCGGGTATGGAAGGTTGGAGTTATAAAGAAAGCCTGGATAGACTGTGACTTTTTTCACTGGACTGTAGGAGGTTGAGAGGTGACTTTAAAGAAGTTTATAAAATCATGAGGGGTATAGATAGGGTTAATGGTAGTTGTTTTTTTCCCTAGGATGGGGGATTTCAAGACTACAGGGCACATTTTTAAGGTGACAGGAGAGGGATTTAAAAAAGACACGAGGTGCAAATTTTTTTACATAGAGGGTGGTTTGTGTGTGGAATGAACTGCCTGTGGAAGTGGTGGATGCAGGTACAATTACAACGTTTAAAATACATTTTGATAAATACATGAATAGGAAAGGTTTGGAGGGACATGGGCCAGGAGGAGGCAGGTGGGACTAGTTTAGTTTGAGATTATATTCAGCATGGACCGATTGGATCAAGGGGCCAGTTTCCATGCTGTATGATTCCATGACTCTATGACTCTATGTTATGCCTCAGTTATACAGAGAATTGGTCAGACTATATTTCAAATACTGTGTACAGTTTTGGTCTCCTCATTTACAGAAATATATAAACACATTAGAGGTGGTTTAGAGGAGATCTACTAGATTGATATCTGGAATGAGTGGGTTCTTTTATGTAGATGGGCTGGTTTCCACTGGAATTTCTAAGAATGAGGGATGACTCAATTAAAGTCTGTAAGAACCTGAAAAGTCTTGACAAGATGGATGTGGCATCAATGTTTTCTCTTGGGGTGTCAGTCCAGAATGAGGGAGCATTGATTAAAAATTGGGGGGCTCACGCTTTCAGGACAAAAATGAGGAGAAATGTTTACTCTTCAAGTGTTGCACAACTTTGAAGACTGCAAAGGTGGTTTCATTGGATACTTTTAACTTTGTTGTTAGGCAGGAGAATCGAGAATTATCAGGGATAGATGGGAATGTGGAATTCGAAACACTAACAGATCAGCCATGATTTCATCAAATGGTAGAACAGGCTCAAAAGACCTCATGGTATATTTCTGCTCCTATTTCGTACAGTCAAATAAATGTTGAATTATAATGTAAAATCCGAAAGAACTGCGGAAGCTGTAAATCAGGAACAAAAACGGAAGTTGCAGGAAAAGCTCAGCAGGTCTGGGCTTACAATTATAATGTGTTCACTGCATCATGTCTGAGGTCAGTGATCTGAAGTTTACGTTGATGGTCCCAGTTATACACTCCGTTCTCCAGCTCAGCAACTGGACGAGGCTGGCTAAATTTGACCCATGATATGATGCAGCTTATGCAACTGAAATCCAAGTACAGTACATTCAAAAGGCTTCAGGACCGATGACTGCTCAAAGGAAAATCATCTTAGTTCTCCATTTCTAAATGCAATCCTGTGAAAAGAAACTCTACACCAAGATTACTGCCAGAGCATGAACTGAGTTCAAATTCACTGTGGGTTTATTTAATCAAGCGAGTGTGAACAGAAAGAGGATTGCAAGATCATTTCAGGATGATTGGAGTTCAGACATTGGGATGTGTTCCTTCAGTTATACAAGGCCTTGTGAGACTGCACCTGGAATATTGTGTGAAGTCTTGGTTTCCCGACCTAAGTGAGAACATACTTGCCTTAGAGGGAGTGTAGCAGAAATTCACTCAGCTGATACTGAGGATGCCAGCACCATTGTATGAGAAGAGATTGACTTACGCAGCATGCTGCTCCCAGATTCCATTTAAATACTCCTCTCAACGGAATTCCAAGAGTGAGGGCAGCACGGTGGCACAGTGGTTAACACTGCTGTCTCACAGCACCAGGGGCCCGGGTTTGATTCCATCCTCGGGCGACTCTCCGTGTGGAGTTTGCACATTCTCCCCATGTCTGTGTGGGTTTCCTCCGGGTGCTCTGGTTTCCTCCCACAGCCCAAAAATGTGCAGGCTAGATGGATTGGCCATGGGAAATTGCCGATTGTGTTGAGGGATGTGTAGATTAGGTGGGTTATGGGGGAAGGGTCTGAGTAGGATGTTCTGAGAGTCGCTGTGGACTTGTTGGGACAAAGGGCCTGTTTCCACACAGTAGGGATTCTATAAAAAAATAATTTGGGTTTGGTTGGATCATCTGCAATCTTCTTTTTGGGAATAGCAAACAAAGATCTCAGGCAAAAAGTTTTGCTTTCCATTGAAGTGAAGTTTCTGATACCAGGACAAAAGAAAATGATAGACACTAGAATAACCACAAATCGTAAGGGCTTCTTATTGACACACCTGCTTCCCACGCTCAGAAACTAATGTTCTCTCCTTTGTTTTCAGTGCACGATGAGTTCCGGTCAGCCATGGTGGAGGGTCCCTTCTTTAGCACAAACATGGAGGACTGCGGCTACAACATTCCCCAGACGGATGAGTCTACGCTGATGACAATTGCCTATGTGATGGCAGCCATCTGCGCCCTCTTCATGCTGCCTCTGTGCCTCATGGTCTTTCAGTGGCGCTGTTTCCGTTGCCTTCGCCGTGATCACGATGACTTTGCAGACGACATATCGCTGCTGAAGTGAATAAGGAAGAACTGTTCGAAATGGAAGAATATCTTTCTCCCCCTCTCCTTTTTAACTAAGAAGCAGTTTACAGCAATGGATAGAACAGCAGGTGTTCCAAGAATCGAAAGCGAGAGTTGAGGTTCACGATTATTGTAGTGTAGACAAAATTACATACCCCACATCCCCCAGTGTGCAGGCCCTTCCATATTGTACTATCTTTCAGTCAGATCGTTTCCTTGAACTGTGACTGAATATCCACAGGGCAGACCAACAGCCCAGTGACAGTGATGTTCGAGAATTGAATAACTCAACAAGGTACACAAACTCCTCCTCACAAGAGATGGCAACTGACTGAAAGAAGTCCACTTGAGTATCTCCAAAAGGAAACTGTAAATATTAGCCACAGAGAAATATTTTTTATTTGACAGATTCCTCACCTTGATCGTAACCAACCTAATTCCATGGTATCTTCTACTGGACCAATAGCAAATACGTGAGCAGTGGAAATGGTTGTTAATGACATCTGCTTGATTTTTATCGATCTCTAGCCTGTGCAGCTGAGCAATGGCCGTTCACTCCTACAAACTGAGTGCAATATGGTTTTACACTACCAGCACATTGACACTACCTTACAGATATCATTTATAATGCGTAGTGTTTACATTTATGTGTAAATATCCAGAAATATATGCATTATAGTAAGTTGCATTACATTTATAGGGCAGCATTGAACAATGTGGCATTGCAATGACTGTTCAATGCCTTTTGTTTTCTTTCGCTCCTGAAGACCATGAGTCCTCATGCAGTTACTTTTTAATGTGTACTGGGCACCCTCAATAGTTGTCTTAAATGGTCATTTATGAAATGCAAGCCCAACTAACATAAGTCAGTGTGTCCATGGATTTCCATGGTAGATGATGCTGCCATTTACAAATTAGGCACTTTTCCACAGAGGGCACGGATAATGATCGATATTGGGAGTTGAGGCTGCTGTGGCCAATTGTACTATTTTCCACTGCTATTCAGAATGAAATCAGGTCACTCAGCACACCGACTGAAGATTAATCTTGGGAATTTCTGGCTTGTATATTTGTATGTGTGTCATTTACTTAGTATCTTGATCAAAATGCCATTGAGAGGAATCTTGGCCAATGTGACATGACAACTGCAACCCAATTGCCTTATACAGCTGCTCCTGAGATAGCGCTACTGTGGTTACTCTTGTGATTCGATGGTGTTTTAATAGCAGTGCTTCAACTTGAAATTAGAAAACTAAAGCAAATCTTCATCTATACAAAGGTCAAAGGGCCAAGGGGTCAACTCCTGCTCTTTGTTCCTATGTTCTAATCCTTAAAACTAGTAATATTGGCCCTGTATACGTGACTGACATATCCTGTGACCAGGCTATTGGCTAAGCTTTAATACATGAAAGTAAATTTGCCATAGTCCCAGAGGACAATATGGCTGCTGCCTCACCAGAGAGAGAGACATGAACTCATTAACACCTAAACTGATTAGGCGATACTCATTTGTCAATCTGCCAAATCCTTTCACCATATGTAGCCATATCAAACTGCTGGTCAGTGACAGAATTAAAGAAATCGACACTTTTTGTTCATGTTTCACCTGTTCAAAAGCTAGGTGCAATTTATGGATTCAAGTTTTAATAGTATCTCAATATTACTTCCACATAGTTGCCCCACTGTTCACATGGGTTTCACCTAAGTATTCAGTATGTGGATATTTCAGCATCAATGTTCATGAAGGTTATATGCAGTTATTGGCAAAGGAAGCAATTGAAACATTGATTCTTGCACACCTGGATGATGGGAGTGTTGAGAGATTAAGACTGTGATATTGTAATGGCAGGTGGTCTGCAATAAGGTGGTATTGGCACTTTGTGATTCACAATCTGAAGGAAACTAGATAGTACTCTTCTAGGAAATGATCAAGGGAGACAGGTTAGATGCAGCAAGGATCCTTGCTGTAGCTGAGAGGGTTAGAACCCAGAGACGTGGTTTCAGAATATGGGTAGACCATGTAGAATTTGAAAAGAGGGAGAATTTCTTCACTCAGGGGTGGTGGTGCTGAAATCTTTGGAATTTTTTCCCCGAAAGAGTGGTGGAGATTCAGCTATTGACTGTTTCAGACTGAATTTGATAAGTTTCTACATGGGAAAAAAAATCAAGTCATACACCAGTGCAGAAAAACGGTGTTGACAATCAGCCACAATCTCATTGGTTGACAGTATGAAACTCAAAGGGTTGAATGGCCTACTCCTCTTTCTGTTTCTTAATTTAGTCACTTGGTAGGATAGAACTTTGTGTATTGCTGAAAAAAACATGTTGTTGATCCCCTCATCAAGATAACTCACAAGAAATGCCAACAGAAAGGAAAATAGCACTAATACAATATGAAAAGAGAGTTCTGATTGGTTGGCAATTGGACTCTAATTGGTACCAGTGTTGCCACAAAGAATGCACCAGTTAATGATGATTGACTATATACTGTCAAGTTTTGTTTAAATTTGATTCAGGTAGATTGACTGCGATTGGTCAAGGCATTATCCTGACAGTTGAACCAGAGAATGGCTGTCACTTACTTTGTTGGGTTGAAAAAGGAGCAGTTTGTGTACAATTTTTTTTTTGTCTACAAAGACCAGAACTTCCAATGCATGGAAGTACACCAATTTATAATCATCAGTCGAGCTCACAATGTGGGCACTGGAGCATACTGGAAGCTCTGTTCTGTGCACACAGAAAGAATTTGTACATACCCTCTTCCTGTTTAAATTTAACAAAATAGGTGACAACCATTCTCTCGTGCATTTTTCAGGGCAAAACCTTGATCAATCAGCGTCAACCTGCCTGGTTTAAAATTTAAACAAATCCTGACAGTTAATTATCAGTATTAAGTGGCAGTGCCTATACCAATCAGAGATCTGTTCCCAATTAATGAACTATCCTCTGATACAGTGTAAAGGTTGCTTTTCCTTTACATTGTTATACTTGCAAATTGTGGTGATGAGTGCAAGACAGAAAACATTGACAAAAATGTGTCTTTTTTTTGCAACAATTTGTTAGTTCCTTAAAATCTTATGTTCTCATGCTCCTAACATAAACCCGGCTGAGGGCAGCACAGACAGTCTAGGCAATATCATGGTGGGGGGCAGGAAATACTGAAAGGAGACAAATCCGACTGAGAGGAAAGACCAGCATTCAAGAAGTGAAGGAGATTGAGACAGGTTGCGGAAATTATGGGGTTGGTAAAGGGAGAAATTGGTTCAACTTCCGGCAAGAACGTTTGAGGTGCAGTCACTTTGGCAGCGAAGGCAAGAGACTGTTTTAGGTCACCATGTGAGAGGGTAGACTGGACACAGCTTTAATGGAAATGAATCAATGTCACAATGGGAGAGGGAAACATATAACGAGAGTAATGGAATGGTGACAGAGCAGGGACATGACAGGGGGAAGGGAAGTAAAATAACAGGATCACATTGGAAGGGACTGGTGCTTGATCCAGTAACATTGTTCCTGTCGAGATTTGAGAAAAGCAAATCATTTCTTTTTTGGCAGACAACATGCAGCAGAATCACTGACAACATTTCTTGCAGTCAGCCAAAGAAATTGTTTTTTTCTAAGGGGAAGTCACAGCCTAGTGGTGTTACCACTGGACTATTAATCCAGAGATCTCATAATCTTCCGGGGAATGGAGTTCGAAGCCCCCGCAACAGATGGTGGCATTTGAATTGAATAAAAATCTGGAATTAAGAGCCTAATGATGATCACAAATCCATCGTTGATTGACAGAAAACCCATCTGGTTCACTCATGTCCTTCATGGGAGGAAACTGCCATCCTTGCCTGGTCAGGCTGACATGTGATTCCAGACCCACAGCAATGTGATTGACTGTCAACTGCCCACTGGGATGGGCAATAAATGCTGGTTTACCCAGTGATGTCCTTATCCCATGAATGAATTTAAAAAATTCAGTATTGTAGGGACAAATGACTATTAATAGAACGTTTGTTCTCCTAGTCAGCATCTGTCACAATGTAGATATCACACTCCAAAGTGTCCAAAGTATTTAACATGAAATATTCATAATGAAAAATAAAACCAGACATTTCGAGCTAGTTTGTTTGCCTCTTTGCAGATTAGCCGTTCTGCAAAGGAAGAAGGCAGTACGTTAATACACAACTGTCAGTCTCTAATAACTCCCATAGCAATGAGACTCAATAGACTTCAGAATGTCCTGATTTGCATTGCTCCCCCTGTAAGTAATATTGCAATTAATGGAGCCAGTTCAGGTTAAACATGCTGAATTTTAGCTGCTAAACGTAACAATGTATGAATGCAAACCCAGATAATTCATAAGCAATTCCACAGGAGATCAGCAATACCATTTTTTTTAAAAAGCAACAAGTCTTCTCCATCTGCCAGACGTCCCAGATAGATTTATGACTCTATTATTCTGGAAATTTATGTTCAAGTTCTAAAATCTCTGAGAAAAGTTATTTTTGATCTGATTACTAACCTGGTTAACTAAGAAAGCAGGTGCACACTTGAGAAATAATTAAACCTACAAATGGACTATGAGTATGAATTATTTTTCAATAGACTTTTGCCCTTCTTCTATTGGGTTATTTTCCTCAATGGATTTGATCAGAATTTATAGGAAATCTATATTAAAATGATGCCCTAATTAAATCTGTGTCACGGTTTGACTTCAGCTCTAACATAACAGATATGAATTTGAAATCTTCATCTACTCAGTTATTGCAATTAGTTAGTGTACAGCACTGAGCCAAGTGGTTCAGTCAAAATACATGGCTACTGTTATTTTGCTTGTAGTCTTTAGTGACACGATTTTCTCATGATCCAATATTGACTGATGAAATGAGACAACAAGGTGCAGGGCTGGATGAACACAGCAGGCCAAGCAGCATCATAGGAGCAGAGAGGCTGACGTTTCGGGCCTAGACCCTTCATCAGAAAAAAAACTGTATGGTTAAAGTTGTCCACACACAAACTCAGAACAAGGAGTTCAGAAAAACAGGAGAACACCACAGTAAGAGGGGGACAAAAGAGGAATCGAGAAAAACAGAAGACCAAGAGTGAGAGAGTGACTCAGACAGGCTAGGAACAAAGTGAGATTGGGAGGGACAAATTGAGAGAGGGAAATGAAAGTGAAACAGGGAGCCGATGGAGAAGATGCTTCATAGAA